GACCGTATCGATTTATAAATACGGGTTTTTCATACAGTCTAAAACATAACCTGTAAATTGCTGTTAATCTTTTGTGCGATCAAGTGTGTAGTGAAAGATTGTTGATATTACATTTGCTAAATAAATAAATAATKACTATAGTTTATGAATACTATTTTGATTTGATGTTATTTGAAAAGCTAATTGTTTTATTCTATTAATCTAAATTGATTGGAAGAATTTTATGAAGACATTATGGCATCAATAAAACAATTCGATCGATGTTGTAATCCATTTAAGTTGGAATCACATTTAAGAAAAGTGGGTGTACGTCCAGCAACTGACATTATGAAAGTAAGTTTAGGATTAGGTGGAAATTATTTGTTATGCAGTTCGTGTCGAAAAGAAGCTTCAAAATTAGTAAAGGAACAAACAAAAACTAGTGATGATCCTAATGTTGATGCAAGTGACCATGAAGATGATTTTAGTGACAACAGTGAGAACAATGATAATTCACTATCAAGCTCGGCATCCCAAGTTAGCGCTTCAACTCAATTACCCATTATAAACGATGCATTGCGACTGTTGAATCAATCGCCGATTCCTTCAAAAAAATTGAATGATTATCAATTTTTAAATAATAAAATAAATCAGATATCTGACAGCTTAAAAAAAGTTTGCTCTCAGCTGCCGATGAAGGATCTATCGATGACGATGGTGAAAATTTTCGCTCCTTAATTAAAATACTGCATGACAGATTCAATGATAAAGAAACGGATAAGTCTTTAAAAATACAAATTTTGACATTGTTACCTAAAAAATGGAGTGAAAGGAGTATTTGTTAAACCATGAATACATCACGAAATTTAATAACGGTAGCAAAAAAGTATGTTGAAGAAGAAATTAGGTAGGTATAGTGTAGAATTGATGCGATTTCTGGTATATATTATACGAAGACTAAATTACTTAACATTTTTTGTATAGGGAAGACAATGACTCATCAAATGTTATTAAAAATTGAGAGTTTTTAYAACGMTGATGAGTATAGCGCTTTGATGCCCGGTATGAAAAACTTTGTTACAGTTCGAAATAATGATGGCAATCGAGTACACGTCCAAAAACGGTTTGTTCTGTCTAACTTAAAAGAATTATACCAATGTTTCCGTGAAATAAACCCAACGGAGAAAATTGGATTTTCGAAATTCGCTTCTTTACGACCAAAACTTTGTGTGTTAGCAGGAGCAAGTGGAACACACACCATCTGTGTATGTATGTACGATCCATCAAAATTTTAACTTGATGATGATTGGTAATTATCAAATTAATTAATAATTATAAGTGTGTTAATTTTCTGTTTATTTAATAACTTTTCTTTTAGGTGCAAATCTTCATTCTTTAACAATAAATATGGAAAGCCCATGAAACACTATAGTGATTGTTTGGACATGATAATTTGTGAGGCTCCATCGGTCCAATGTTATTTGGGTGGATGTAACAACTGTCCAGGGGTAGAAGAGTTGAGTAACATTCTACTAACATGTTTTGAGAATCAGGAGATC